AGAGGAGATTGCTGAAATATGTAAAATAATAATACGTCCCTCATTGCTGCCAGTTCACTCTCCTTAAGAATACAGATAGCAAATTGATAAATGTGACCTCATTAGCTACTTCAAATATGCTGGTATGTGATCAAGCGTGTTGTGTGAATAAAATCTTGTATGTGCATATTTGTATTTAAAAGAAGGAAAGAATACTTCTATTTGAAAAAAATTTTAGTGATTCATAAGGAGATCTATATCGTTTCAACAACTAATTACGTGAGGCTTATACTTGATATACTTCATGTACAGTGTGTTCTAGATTATTGTGTATTTGTTTGGAGATTGTTAGACCGGTTCCGGGAACAGATATGTTGTCCTGGAGCAATTACCGGCGTCCCCGTGAGCGATGTGTTTGTCGGCTTAGCGCATAGCTGCTCGGATCTGGGCAAAGCCGTCTGCTACACGCTGACCCAACACGAGCGATGACTCATCTTTGCCGTGTCGCTCGATTATAGGTGTTGGAAATGTACTCGTCTTCACTTGTCAGGGTAGTTATTGTGCCTTGCCGTTGTCTCTGACGCAAGTGTCATTAATCGGAATAGCAACACTGCATTTAATGAAATTTTGCCGACTGTGACGTCACAGCTTATCTTGTCCTATGGACCCCGCCGCTCGGCCACCCTCAGTGTTTATTGCGATGCTGCCGTCTCTACGTGAGCAGTAGAGAGCAGGACTGAGAGCAGGTGAGTACTATAGGTGTGCGTGCGTGCGTGCGTGTGTGTGTGCGTGCGTGCGCGTCTTCGTGTGTGTGCGCGTCTTTGTGTGTGTGCGCGTCTTCGTGTGCGTGCGGGTGCTCGTGCGCGCGCGCGTGTGTGTGTGTGTGCGTGTGTGCATACTGCTCGAGCAGTGTAGCTTCGTACCAAACATAACACACATATATGCTTTTCCATGCAGAGATGACGATTGAGGAAGTAAACCTTCAGAATTCTGATGCATCGCTCATTCCGGGGGAAGTGCTTGCCGGAAGCGATGCCGGATGCGGATACGAGCCTCGCCAGCAATGTGATGTGAAAATCTACATATGCGCCACCATGTGGCACGAAACAGAAGCAGAGTTGGAGGAGCTGGTGGAGTCCTTGCTACGGTAAGACTTGAGGGAATATGGCATGTTTTTGTTTTATAATTCGATTTTTGTTTTATGGTTGATTTTATCACATATAACATTCGATTTATCACATATAACATTCGATTTATCATATATATCATTCGATTTATCACATATAACATTCGATTTATCACATATAACATTTGATTTATCACATATAACATTTGATTTATTGCATATAAAATTTGATTTATCGCATATAATATTTGATTATTAATCATATGTTTAAACGTGGCAGATAAATGCGAGGGACAATAATGTCCACTGTGTTTTATGCACATATAACATTGTCGATTTATGCACATATAGACAATTCGATTTGTCAGCCATATCAACTATCGAATTTATCACATATAACATTTAATATTGTTTTTTTTAAAGCATATCACATTTGATATCGCACATCCGATTTTATTCATGATATAGAACATTGCAGTATAAGAATTGAGATATATTGGCATAATAATGTAGTTGTCTGACCTTAGTTAATCATTAATGTTATTAGTGCAACCTAAATACCGACAATGACATCCCTGTTTTAAATGTTGACATTGATTTGAGTTTTATATCAGAAAGAAAATCAATCCATGTCAAATCCTGGCCATCAAACGACCATTGTTTTGGGAATGGCGAATCAGATCGATCGTGCGAATCGAACCATGTGTCTGATTCTGGATACGGATATCATTCGAATTTTGCGAGATCGAATGCTTCGATTCACGTAAATCGAATACTTTGATTCACAAGGATCGAATGATTCGATTCACGGATCGAATGCTTCGATTCACGGAGCGAATGATTTGATCTCACGGATCAGAACTGATTCGATTCACGGATCGAAATGCTAGTCGATTCACAGGGATCGAATGCTTCGAATTCACGGCCTCGAATGATTCGATATAAACGGATCGAATGATTTGAGTATACAAGATGCGGATCTGATTGATTTCACCGGATTGAATGATTACGATTCACGGGATCGGAATAATTCGATTCACGGATCGAATGCTTCGATTCCAGCGGAAATTACTGCTGTCTCCGAGCCACGGCCACTTTGATCATCGGCCCGACGCAGCTGTACGCTTCCCCGTCTCTGTTTTGTACATTCCGGCCTGACACGGGTTGGCGTTTTCCGCATCGGCCATCACTTCCCTGGCGTGTGGAGTGTGGCCCGCTTGACAATTATATGTGGCTGTTATGCGGGCCGGCTGGGTGAGCACAGATCTCGATCGCTCCCTCTGCCTGCTCCTGCCCTCCCCCTTAACCTCCTGCCTCTCTCAATCAGCTTATGACACGCTCGAGCCCCGACCGCCACTCTGCTCGCCTCCGCGTCCGCTCTCACTCAGTCACCACTCTCATCCGTCCTTCCTGCCTCCGCTCTCTGCTTCCTTCGTCCCTACCCGTCGCTCCCTCCTCTCGCTTCCCTCCCTGCCCTCCGTCCCTCCATCCCTCCCTCCCTGACTTCACCTTCCTTCTCCCTCGCGCTCCCTCCCTTCCTCGCCTCGCCTCCCCCGTCCCCGCCCTCTCCTCCCTCCGTCCCTCGCCTCTCCTCACTCACGGATCACTTACCACGCCTCGACTGCCCCTCGCCTCGCTGCCTGCCTCACCACCTTTTTCTCCTCGCTCCTCCGCCACCTCTCATCCGCCTCATCCTCCTCCACCACACCTTCTGCCCCCTTCACGTGACCGTCCTCCGCTTCTCCCCTTTTCCTCCCCACCATCTCCTCACCTTTCTGTCTCACCAGCTTTCTCCGCCTCCTCTACGTTACCTGCCACATTCTCGCGACTCTCGTCTCTAACCTGCTCCCATCGTTCTCCCACCCATTCTCGACCTCTCCCTCTGCTTACTTTCTCCTGCCCCTCGCACTACCTACCTCCTCTCTCGCCTATCTCCCAACTTGCCTCCCCGTCCACCACATTCCTCGCCCTTCTGCTACTTCCCCTCCTCTACGCTCCTCCCCTCTTCCCCACACCTTCTAATCCTCTTCCAGTCGACCACCTTCTACCCTCCTTCCTCGACCTCTTCCTGGTACCCCTTGTCTGGGGCCTCCGTCCCCTTCTCCCCTTTTCCCCTTCCTCCTGCCCTGCACTACCTTTTGTCCCGTCGTCTCTAGGCCTGCTTTCTACCGTCCACGGGTCTTCTCCCCTTCTCACTTCACCCACTACCTTTCTCCCAGTCGTCTTCTAACCTTTCTCTCCTTCGCTCCTGTACACTCCTTTCCCCTCCTCCTCTATCTACTTCGTCCCTCATTCCTCTATTTCGAGTCCCACGGATCGAATCATTCGCATCGCGTGGATCGAAATCATTCGATCGCCGTGAATCGAGCATTGCGATCGGTGAATCTGCAGCATTCGATGTCGTGAATGCTGTTATATGTGATAAAATCAACCATTAAAACTAAAAAAAAGTCAATTTGGAAAGCAAAATATACCATGCCAACGTAGGGACAGCCGCTGCAACACCTCAGTATTACTTGCTCGCTCATGAGCATGAAAACTTCGCGGCATGTCTCTCGAGAAGACGATGGACGTCACTGTATATTATTAGAGTCCGCGAGAATGGTTGTGCGTGTGTAGACTGTATGTGTGAGTTGTAATAATAATATAGTCAGCATTCTGATACCGTATCGAAAATAGAGGCCTCGATCTGCCCGAACATGATAGGTGATACGTTACACGATATTTATTGTTTTGCTTTGTTGGTTTAAGATGTGATGCTGGACCCGTTTGTGTAAATGCGTTACAACTTCAACTCTACACGACAAATCCAAAGAGACGTACGCAGCCTTGAACAGGTAGATTCTATGATTTAACTGTGTAAAAAGAATGCTTGATTGAACAAGTGAGCTATACTGGTAACGAACCAAATATAACAAATATACACACAAAAACAACACAACACAACACAACACAACACAACAACAAAACACAACACAACGCAACGCAACACAACGCAATGCAGTTCAGCGCACAAAGCAACGCCTCAAGTAAAACAGAATGCAACACAGTCACAATACTGACGCAACAGCAACACGCACGACACAACATAACACAACACAAACACACATACAACAACACAATGCTACAACAAACTCAACACACGTCACGTCATACGGCCCGCACGCATGCACGCAACGCACCACGCACGCAGCCACGCACGCACGATCACCACGCTCGACCACGCACCCACCACACACACCACACACACACACACACACACACACACCACAACCACACCACACAGCACACATACGGCACTACACACACACACACACACACACGCGCGCGCACACACACGCACGCACGCACGCACGCACACACGCACGCATGGGCGTACACTGCACCTGGCAACTGCCTCGATTTTCAGATGTGAGGCTACAAGAAATGTTTGGTTGTCATGTGGTCTTGTAGCTATAACTATATCTCCACCGGATACGGTGATGTCGGTGTGTATATATGCACCCCCACTTGATACGGCTACGCCCTACCGGGTTTCTGAAAAATAATCAGTTATTATACATCACTTATAACAATAATCCACTTGTAATAATCAGTATATCACTTATTACACGACGCTATGTCGCATTTGATACTTCTACCCCCTACCGGGTTTCTAAAAAATTATCAGAATATTACACGAAGCTATGTCACATATGCACTAGCATATACGGAGCGAGTAAATCCGGATGGGGTCCGAGACAAGATATGGCGTGATCCACCGCGTGAGAAAGGGCTTCTGGTCATTCTTAAAATTGCGTTCTAGGAATGCTCCATGTCGTATCAGTTGTTGACCTCGCGATATCCTAGTTGCATGAACACACCGATTAAATCCGAGTTCGTTCTATGACAACATTGCGTTGTGACGATTTACGGTACGTCACGGGCAGCTCTATCCAATCAGCGTCGCGATTGTGGAATTGTCGACAATATGGCGTGCACTCGCGATAAAATACGCACAAACCTGCCTAACCCGACTAAACTAACAAGTTAACAACGATATTATTGTGGAGCGTAATTATCTCGCTTAAAAGGATGGGTTAAGGCCCTCAGTAATCCTTATTTAATAAATTCATTCTTGTTATGATTCGTTTCAGCTCATATTGTATTTGACGATGCCTTGGTGCCTGCGAAATGCGTTCCGGGACATTCTACGATTAATAGCTATGCTCAGAGTCTACTCAACGTGCTCAACCGGCTAGTGAAGTAGGTACACGTGCACAAACACGCCCCCCACACACACTACGTGCGCACCCACACGCGCGCGCGCACGCACGCACATACACACACACATACCCATACACACGTGCGTGCACGCGCGCACACACACACGTAGGTGTGTTACAGAACAAGTTTTCGGACATTCGCACCGTGACTGTTACTGTACACACTATCAACCGACCGCTTTCAGTCTTCACGATTTGTTTGCTTCCACTAATTATTTCCGTTTGTGCTGCCGCCACAGACTTGATAACTTTTCAATTCTTGTGCTGAAGGTCACCCAATCACAGATACACGAACAGTGGAGCGGAGACGGCGTATGGTCATTGCATCGTATGCGCTCTACCAAACGGCAGCACCTTGTATCTGCATCTCAAAGACAAAACTAAAGTTCGTAATAAGAAACGATGGAGTCAGGTACGTGACCGCTAGTATGTCAATCCACGAAAATTAAAACGAAAACGTTTATTCTGTGAAAAGCTATGGATCTATGTGTATAGACAGATCACGCATAGCTGTATCGACGATGAATGTTTAGTTTTTGATGAGCGTTTAACAGCGAGGGAACTTGTGCCAGAGTGCCCTAAACGCATGTTCACGCGCTCGCGCGCGATTGGATGGTTCATAAGTGTTAATGCGCACGTAATTTACTAGACAACCTGATAGATAATCTTTTGTTGCTTACGTTTTCCTACAGGTCATGTACATGCGCTACATAATATCCTCACTGCATCCTTCTGACATGTACAACGCGTACATTCTGGCCGTCGACGGCGATGTCAGCTTCCTGCCGGCTGACGTCATTCGCTTGGCTCAGGCACTTCAGACGAAACGCGAAGTAGGCGCCATCTGTGGCCGCATATATCCAACCGGCAGCGGTACGCGCCTTACTGTTTCATTTGCCAGTTCTTCCTGCGATAGGCCAGCAATTCTACTATCGATATGCTATGAATAATCTTACTACTAAAGCACATCGACGAAAAAATATGTGCACGTTATGAACTTAGTATTATATATGGTGTACTGTTATATGAATATTTATAAAATGGCTCGGATATTTTATGCATCATTATTGGTCAAAACGCGTCACGTGACACGCCGTTGTTGTTGTTATATAATGCACGCCAAACCGTGTAAAAAAGCGCGCAAAAAAGTTATGTTGCACGCTCGCGATTATGTTAACATTTACAATAATTAAGCATCAAACTGAAATTTTCGAGATGTAGATTTACTATTGATTTTCTAAACTATTTATCTAGACTGTTTATCTAGACTTACTGTTAAATTGTTATAGTGTGTGTCGCTGTTATAGTGTAATCAACTGTAAATCTGTTTGTTTTTGACTTTTGGGACTGGAATAAATTTTCGAGATCTAGGCTTACTATTTATTTTCTAGACTATTTATCTAGACTATTTATCTAGACATACTGTTAATTATGTGTGAAGCAATTTACTAAACTGTAAATGTGTTTGGATTGACGTTCGGAGTTGAAATAAATTTTCGTGATCTAGACTTACTATTTATTTTCAATTAATTGTGTGTGTCGCAATTTTATAAGACAGATAAACTTGGCCTGTTGTGCGATCAATGTAAATGCAGCGCGGCGCTCGGTATCTTTAGACTGGTGCGCACGACGCACTCGCCGCAAGCGGCTCGTGCGCACCAGTCTAAAGATACCTGGCGCCGCGCTGCATTTACACTGATATACAAGCAATATCTGATCATTGCCATTGCAGGTTTAGTGCTGTGGTTCCAAGCGGTTGAGTATGCGATTTCACACTGGCTCTACAAGTCCACAGAAGCGCTAGTCGGCAACGTTCTATGTTGCCCTGGATGTTTCACCATGTACCGCGCCAGTGCCCTGAATTCTAACGACCTCCTGACTTCCTACGCTAGCAACACTAAGAACGCCATCGACCACTTGATGCAAGATCAAGGTGCGAAATAATCGAATGGGAACCTAAACTAGAATATTGCAGCGTTTGTTTAAGCGTTTTACGTCACATGCGTTGACGTTGCCGCGACCACTGTATTGCAACACGACAGTTGCACGAAACTTAAAGCTCCACAACAACGACGACGACGACGACGACGACGACGACGTTGATGACGACAACGACGATGACGACGAGACGATGACGACGACGACGACGACGACGACGACGGACTCGATCAACACGACTAACGACGAGACAATGACGACGACGACAACGACGATGACGACGACGACGACGACGACGACGACGACGATAATAATAATAATAATAATCATCATCATCATCATATGTGCAGGAGAGGACCGATGGCTGACTACATTGGTACTAAAAAGCGGTTATCAGACAAGTTATGCGCAGATGCACGGGCTAATACCATGCGCCCGATTCCCTAGCCCGAGTTATAAGTCGTCAAACAGTCGGAGATGGTACCCTCTCGACAATGTGTAACAACATGCTCTTATTAAAAAGTAAGAAACCGTCGTTAACGGCGTCTTATATGATTTTATGTTTAACTTTAATATATTTAACATTTATTATTTACTGCTATTTTTTTTTTACTTCTTGTATTGTAAATGTTTTTTGGCTTCTTCATCATCTATTAGTGCATCACATGATAAATCGATGAAATTCTATTGGATAACGTCGCAGGTACTATGAAACAATAGTGCCGCCAGAGCGGGCACTATTGCTGTGCGACGCATTGTTATTAATAAGCATTGTGTTATTAATACAAATTGAAATTGTTCGTTTAAGAAACTTTGTCTTATTCACTTCATATTAGCCGAGTAGATTGCAAAGTCATGTGATGCACTGAAAACATTAATGCCTAATGCCTCGGTACCTCTCGGGCACTATACCTTCCCAAAGCAACACTATGAGAGCATAGTGCCCCCAAAAACAGGCATTAATATATAAATAGTTTACGTTGCTAATATATTTTTAATTAGTATTTTACTGAATTGTCCTATATTTCTATTGGTAATAGCATGCCTTTTTTATCTCTTTATTATCTACGCAGATTCGAGACAATTTCTGTCGCAAAAAAGCAACATGTGGTGGTTTCTCCTCTATCAGTTGTTGCTATTGATCACCGGATTCCTGACTCCAGGAATAGTCATTGCTCTCATGGTTGAGGGAATGGTGGTCGTTCAGCAAATGGTGAGTTTGTCTACGATGCAACGTTATAAAATGCTGCAATTCTGCTTTCTTGTTGAGGAGGAACACACGCGCGCACGCGGATTTTATCAAGCAAATTCATTACCGTTAGCTTTTTCATATACTTTTTATTTTTCTGTATCTCAAGGTATCGTGCATGTACGATTATAAGAATCACAATAAGTTATTTTTGCCCATATATAAATTAGAGAAAAACACACGGGCACAAATGGATTCATAGCATTAAAATCAAATTTGAATATGTTGACAATTAATGTCTGAAAGTTTCTGCCTGAGGAAGAGACGTTGTCTCGAAAGCTCACTCGATGCAATAAATTCATAACTACATATTTAACTTTGATTTTAGTGCTATATGTATATATATATATCGCATTTCTATATTTATTTCATTTATTTTGACGCCAGATTGGTATATCATCGGACATGAAAAGCTCAGTGCTGATCGCAGTTGTCGCGGCCGGTGTACCCATCATATTTTTCATCCTCATATGTCTTTCCGGGAGTGAAAAGTGGCAGGTACGGATGTCAATATACGATTATATATTATATATTATATATATTATTATTGTATTGTATTGTATTGTATTGCATTGTATTGTATTGTTTTGTATTGTATTGTATTGTATTGTATTGTATTGTATTGTATTGTATTGTATTGTGCTTTTATTTTTTCCACTCCGATCGCATCAACGTGGAAGATGGCTCCTGGCTGTGGCGCCGGAAGGCTCTGAGGTACACCACCGACAGTTGGTGGACTTTGCTGACAGCAGTGAAAATGGTGTACGAAGCCAGTGTTTTTCAGGGAAGAAGAAAGAGTTAAGCGACCAAAGACAGTGATGAAGCTATTTCTCAACGGGGAGGGTGTTTCCCCTCCCACAGTAGGGTAATCTTTGAAAATATGTGCCATCAAAATGGCATTTTGCGCCATTTCATTGTTCATTAGGCCTATTAGGTGTAGGTAATAGTGGTATAGGACATCCCATTCAGGCCCTTCTCTCTTAATTTTTGTACTCTCGCGATCAAGGGGGTCATGGCCTCCTTGTGCCCCCCCCCTCCTTAGCTACGCTATGTCCTCATTCAAGCACTGACGGAATATTGAATTAGTTTGATTTGTGTGTTAGCAGTACCATGCAATGTTGCATTTATCCGTCATAAACTGTTTCAAGTTCCCATATAAAAGTTAAAAGTAAATTATTTTTGAAAAAGTAGAGAGCATATTGAATGAAATCGAAATAAAGATCTACGGCAAAACAGGTAATGTTTGGAACTGCCTGAATAAACATGCAATTTATTAAATTACAAAGATTTACATTGTTAGAAACAATAGCGTTAAGATCACATTAAACATTTTGTTCGTTATAAAAAATGTTTTTGCTTTCCTCTATGAGAACTAAAATCATATTGAAATTTGATTTTCAAATAAAACAAAGGTGGCTGCCAAATAGCCGCTCTATTAAATAAAAACGAAATTAACCATGAACATATTTGTTTTTGCCTCCTCTGATAGAGACAGTTACTTAAAATGTGTTGAATCGATTTGAAAATAAAATCAGCGGTGGATGCCAAAATGGCGTCTAATATTCGAAATATCTCAAGTTATTCACAAAGCATTTCCATTTCTTTCTTCTGCCAATAGAGTTCAGAACCATAAAATTCAATCAAAGCCAACTTGCCAACAACACAAATCTGAGCAAAGAAAAATTATCTCCTTCTTTCGTCATGTTTTTGTCTGCTGCAGAAATCTCAAATTCCAAGTGTTCAAGTTCTACTCGTCGATTTTGCACAGAACATTTTGAGGATTTCGTTGACATTAATGTATTCACTATAACTCCTGTTCAACGAAAGGCAGAATGAAGCCAGAGAATCGTGCTGGGTCTTGTAGAACGAAGTTTAGACTTGACAATGCTCATTTTAAGAGAATGTTCGTTCAGCAATGCAGACAGTAACAGAAATTGTGGCCAGTCTTGTGAGACGCGTGAGAGTGCAACGCAATTTTTTTATTTTTTTTGCTTGCCAATCAACAGGGGAGCATGGCCGCCCTTGCCCCCCCTTAGCTACGCAGTGAAGAACCATACAACATTAAGACGAATTACTCGTCACCGCGCGAATGTGTGTATGCGCGAACACGTGTGTGTAGCGCCAGGAAAGGTGAAGAGCCAATCACGAGATAACGGATTTTTTGGGACTGTGGAATCGAATATCTTTGACAGTATCGGCGACTGATTTGCTTGAAGCGAGTTCTTTGTTAAAATCTGAAGTGCTTTATAGTACAATGCTTATCAACGACGAGCGAAGCGCTATCAGCCGTGCATGCACGTGTCTTGAATGCATGCGCGTGGGAGCGCACAGTTGAGAGAGAGAGAGAGAGAAATAGATAGATAGATAGAGAGAAAGAGAGATAGAGAGAAATAGAGAGAGAAAGGGAGATAGAGAGAGAGAGAGA